AGTAGAATTTCAAGCTGAGCTTTAGGGCTCAAAACCTCGGCTGATTGAGAATACATCAATTACTGCACAATCGCGAATATTTTACAGCTAATAAATTGAATTGAGTTCTTGTTCGAGCTACTTCCGCCTCTTTAAAGCGTACCGTTGATTTGTTCTTTTCTCAAATGCTTTTAATTTTTGACAGTATTTTTTGCAGTATTATCCGACAAACGTGCAAATTTGTTCGGGGTCCTACTGAAACGCAGAGAAGTCTCACCTTTTCTTGTCTCAATCGAAGTGAACTTCCCCTCTTGTTTTCAACGGGTTCCCCAGTGAAAGGCTGAAAGGTCAGTGTATTAGCGTTAGAAAGAAATTTGGTAAAGATGCAGTGTTAGCCATGGCTAAATTCGAGCCACTTTTATATTAACAGCGAGGGGAGGCGTGATTAACAAAGCTGACGTTCTGAAGAGGTAAATTTCACTCCGAGATCTTGTCTAGCGCTACTACGAAATTTATAATTTCGGACGGGATTGACTCAACAAACAAGTGGTCCAAATAAAACGAAGAATTAAAACGAAGAAACAACTCACCGGCTCTCGCCTTTGTTGAAGTGAAATACTAGTAACGAGTATTCTCTTCTTGCGTAGAACTTCCACAGGGTCTGGTTAGGTTGACAATGTTAAATGTTTGAGGAAAAAAAAAGTGGTTAGGATGCAATGCTGCTGGAGACTAGCTGCTCTCTGTGGTTTAAAAACTGGGGAGGGGGTATTCGATGAAGTTCTAGATGCAAAGATTCCCGTCATTCAGTTATCAACCATAGAATAGGTTTCTTTTTCGTACACTTACCACACAAAATAACACCTTTTAAACCTACCATTGGATATGGGACCGACAGAATATGCAACCCTTTTAAGAATCTAAAGCCTGGAAAAGGTCCGTTCATCGGGAGGAGCTTCCCACCTAAGTCATGATAAGAAATACCTTCCCCCCCCCCCCCCACACACACACAAACACACACCCCTTCAGGATCAAGCGGTTGAATTCGTTAGCTATTTCAAAAATAGCTAACGAATACTCCGCATGTCACTGTTCTGTTTGGAGCAAGTAACAGGCAACAAAAGGGAATGTGATGAATTACCCACATCTACAAATTGGAGTCCGGAGTCATTCGGAAAACAAACAATCTTTGAGTCGTGGCAACGAGTCAAGAACTTGAAATACACAGCATAAAACACCGCCCAAAGAGAAGCGGGATGGGATGAAGCGAAAGTTGCCTGCTTCTATTCGGGAACAAACGATGGTCAGATCTCGTTACTAACACCCGAGGCATTCGAATAGACAGGGTCGCAAATTCGCACGTAGTCTCTGTGACCCCCTCCCGCAGTATGATTTTATTGTGTCAGCGGTCGTCCCACTTTAGTAATAAATAACTGAGGGAAGCTCAACTTGGGGACTAAGGTTGAATCAGCTGTTAATTATAACCACAGGCGGCCCAAGCTCTCTTTGAGAACCACACAAGGAACACAATTTGCATATTTATAAGAATTTGTATGGGATTTTTTACCACATAAAGAGAAGTCTTCTCTTTATGTGGTAGAAAACCAGAATTTAAAAAAACCGCTTAAATCAAGTGAAATCGGTAAAATAACGACACCAGGAGAAGACAACACACGTATGGAAGGTAAGCCATTTTTATTGAATATTTTCACTTTTAAATATTTCTGTGGATATCTTTTAGAAAATCCCGTACAAGTCCTTATAAATATGCAAATTGTGTTCCTTGTGTGGTTCTCAAAGAGAGCTTGGGCCGCCTGTGTTATAACCAGCGGTAAGAATCCCGCGCTTTTACTAAAGGTCACGTGCTCATCAGGGCCATAGTTAGTAGGCTCATTGACCTCACCGTCCTAACGAGATGTCATCCGAATTCTTCCCAAAGCCGGCTACTAGTCCTAGAGACTACGGTTACGGGCTTTTG